TTGAATAATAGTTTGTCTTGTTTATCTTCTTTTTTATTTTTTAGGTTTGGTGTTTTATTAAAATTTGTCTATATTTTCTTTTATTTTTTTGATTTTGTTTAACTTAGTTCTTTTTTATTTTCTTCTAAACTTCTGTTTTCTTAAACTTTTTTATAAATATTTTTGTTTTTTTCTTTGTCTAGTTCTTGGTTTCATTTTGTATTTTTGCCTTTCTTTCTCTAATATAAATATTTATTTTCTATAAACTTTTTTTTCTAGAGGATATTTTTCTTGCTTTTTTCTTGAGAGGTATAAGTTCTTTTATATTTTTTTTTATTCTTTTTCTATTTTTTCCTTGCTTTCATATTCTATTGATAATATTCTGTTCTCATGTAAGAATCATAATAATAAAGGCCAACTAACCCAGGGACCCTAGTGGTAGTAGGATTCTTAGTTCTTGAACCAAGCCTTCTTCGAGTAGCCTTAATTTTTGTTGTGTTTTAGGTTGTGAGACCCCAAAACCACACCCTTCACAACGTATGTACGGGTTACCGTAACCCGGGTCAAAATAGAATTTCCGCTTTTTTTTTTTTTTTTTTTTTTAAGAGTGGGGCCTGGCCTCGGTTTTTATTGAATAATTTATGTTTTACATTTGTAGAATGAATTACATGAATTACTACGGGGACCTACAGCTAGGACTACTTTCTCCTCGCCTAAAACTCTACTAGAGTAGGTTAACAGACCTCATCTAGATTTATAGTAGCGATGTAAGATGTGTATATGTTTAATAGTAGGGAAAATAGTTGCCCATCTGTTGAATCTTGCTATACTATGTTGTGACGTGGGAGGGTATTCTGGAGGTGGTATGGTAAGTGGGTTGGTCGTCATGTCCTGCTGATGTGTTGCAGTGCAAAATAGAATTTCCGTACAAAGTTATAACTGATAAGTTACAATATATCCCAATGACTTGAGTTTCTACTGCATCACTAGTTATCACTAGTACAGATTAATAAGAACCATGTTCTTTACTATTCTAAAATTTATTATATATATTACTATCGATTTCGGAGAATCGAACCAATTTAAATTTAATCCAATAACAAAATGTAGAATTACAAGATAACTTTTTTATTTAGATGCGAGTCATATATAAACTCACTGCAAATAATAAAAACAATAAGAAATTAATACATAATGATAATTTCAAGAAATTACAGTAATAATATTTAATATCGTTTTCTAAAAGACTGCTAACTTTTTTTAAACGTGATATCATTTTATATTTGCATTCGCGTCTTTACTGTTATTAAATTATCATGTTCCCAGCCAGAGCTTTGGAACCATGACTATTGTGAATGATAGTTCAAGTCATTACTCGGCCCAACCAGTGGCACCAATAACTATGACTCAAGCTTGGAGCCACGACTTTTGAGCTATCCAAGCTGCTAACAATCTGGCCTTTTCTGTCAACGTTTTGCATTTTTACAACTATGCAATTAGTCTTCTTTCCTTGGTAATTCAATGGGAACATAATAAGCCACTCCGGAATTCATCGGTTCGCTATTAAGGATTTAAACGAAGTAATTAATAACTATCGATTAAATCAAGGGAAAAAATGTATATAACAATAAAACACTCACTAGACAAGATAGATGACCAAAAGCAAAAGTAAAAAAAACATGAAAGCAAAAACCTTAAATCCTATTTTATACCAAATTTTATCGGCCTCTACTTTTTGTATTTCCTGTTTAAAATGCTCGGATTCTTTTTTGATACGTCTTATTTCTTCGTCATTAGCTAGTATCTTGATTTGTTGCATTTTATCGCTTTCATTAAATTTATTTTCAATTTCTTTTATTTTGTTTTCCAAAAGTGTTCGTTCAGATCTCAAATCATTTATTTTAGCTTCTAACATTGATTTATTTTCTTGAAGTTTCGAGGCCACGGATTCATGATGAGCGGACATAAGTTTCAATTCGTGAATGATCGATTCTTTAAGTAACATATTTTCTTTTTGATTATTCTTAAATTCTTTCAACTTTTGATTTTCAATTTCAAACAATTGAATCTTTTCCTCTACAGCTTTTTTTATTTCTTCAGTTGTTGATTCAAGACCAATTGAAACATCGACAAGTTTATTGAGCCTTTCTTCATAACTAGGTTCTTCTTCGGATTTTTCTATTTCGCAAATGGCTTTATTGACATTTGATCTAATCCTTTCATTTACAGACCTTTCCCAATGTGATAATGATAATACGGTATCAACATTTTGAGATAATTCATTCATAAAATTTCCAATTTCTGAAAGAACCTTTGTATAAATTTGATTTGAATGTTCTTGGATGGTTCTTTTGAATAAATTTTGAGCGCATCGTTTTATTTCAATACGTAAATTACTATAAGATTCTTCTAACTGAGTATCTAATTCTATATAAGAAGTATCAATCATTGTTGTCATATTTGATTTATATTTATGTAAAACCAAGTCCATTCGTGATTTAGGGCATATGGAATGAGCACTACAAGAACCTTCAGCTTCAATTTCAAAAGTATCAGAAGTACGATCAATAGTAATAGCGTCGATTCCGATCGGTTCTTCTGAATCAATTGCAGATGGACAAGTTTCTTCTTCAATATTTTCAACCTCATCCATAAAATGTTCCGAATCAAAAATATTAAATAAATCGAATGAATCATCGCCTATGATATTCTCTACACTTTGTTCATCAGACTCTTCAGTAGAATTAAAATTTGAAGAAGTTGTACTTGATTCATAAAAATAATGTTGATCCAAACATGCGAGTTCGTCGAGATATTTAAGCAGCGGACGAACTCTTTCCATATATTGATTCAAATCATTTTGAGCAATTGGTTTTTCAAAATTTAATTCTTTGTTTGATTCATCATCTTCGACTAAATGTGATTCCAAATCATGCGTACTGTCTTCGTCCGAAGAATCTTGACTATTTGTAAAAAATTTTTCTGACACGCTGCTGTCTTCAACTACGTTACCAAAATCAATCAAGTTTGGTGACGGTGTCCGAGAAGACATTACTTTTTCTGGCTAGAAAATTATACGATCGAATCAAATTTGTGACAAAAAAGTGCTTAAACACTTTTTTTTTTTTTTTTTACTTACCTTTTAAAGACGTATAAGAAATTAACAAAATTGGAATTTTATGATGAAAAAGGTAACTTTAAAGAGGCTAATAAATATTCGTAATGGACGAAAGCAAAAATATCAAAAATAAGAAAAAAAATTTTTTTTTTGGATATTTAACGTCTTAACTTTCATTTATATAATTTTTTTTTCACTTCTAAATAAATACTTAATTCATCGTAAAAAGCCATATATTTAATTTCTACATGTGACGTATAATTTTTTTTTTGATATATCACACATGAAATCATGTACGTATATACTTTTACCCCTTAACTTCTGAATTTTCCGTATAATAACAAATCAAAAATAATGATTACATTAGAACTTTAAGCAGGTCGAAAAAAAAAATGGTTTCCCTGAATTTGATACGAATTAAAAAATTTATATAAAAATTCACTTTCGATTTTATTTTCACTTTCGATTTCATTATTGTTTGATATCTTTTGGTTCCAATAACATCGAAAATTTCTTTTTAATACCTTGACATATTTTTTTTCTTTACCACAAAAGTAACAATTAAATATTCGAAACGTTCAAAGTCAAAAATAAACTCGTTTAATACTGTAATACATAGTCAAACTTAAGTGACGAAATTCCAAAAAGAACTTTATATACGAGTCAATATTACGATATCATAACAAAATATGACACGGTAAAAAAAATTTACACGAAAATTCAATCGAAAAGACTCGTTTAAAACCCACTGTAGTCTAAATAAGATATAAATTCGAATGATAGTATATTATTCTCGTACAATAGATACCTATTATGAGGTTATACAAGTTGGAATTCATTGAAACCGTGATCGGCCAGACTCAAAGCTAATAAAATTATTAATTATAATCCGTTCGTTAAGTAAGAATTATAATCCGTTCGCTAAGTAAGAATTATAATCCGTTCGTTTAAGTAAGAATGTCCAGCTGATAGTAATTTTATTAAAGACATAACCGGATGTATTATTTAATGCCGACGAATTTCGATTGGGATTGTAATGCAAAAAAAAAAAAAGAATACCAATGACGGGTCCATTGTGAATTTAAGACATTATCTGCATTAGGTTCATTTAAATGTTACATACAAATTTATTTATTATTCATCATGCTTTAACAATGTATACTATTTTTGAACTTATATATTTATAAAGTCACGAAAGTAATAATTTTAATTTACATTCACGAGATTAGGTTTTAAGATGCAGGATATTTAAAATATACACATATAATAATAAAGAATTCCAATTAGATTTCAATCCACTCCAATTCCAAATATCAATATTTCGTATATCGTCTATAAAGATTTGGTCAGGCTGCAGTATTAAATCATTGTGAGAATTATTCGATTTACTGCATAACTGTTCCCAATCAGCTGGAGGTTTTAATTTCCTGAGTTCATGAGGTAGTTCAATAAATTGAGCGACCAATCCCGCTTCCACATGCCACTAATAAAATTATTTATGTAATGATAAAGTGATTTTATATGCATTGAATATAATAAAATTATTTTTACCTCGATGTGACAATGGAAAGCCCATATTCCAGGATTATTT